TGTCCCAACTCCCCCTTGGCCACCTGCTCAACTAGCCTTGGCTTTGTGTCCTAAGGGATCTTTTCCTGCCCCCTATTATGTAATTCTAAACCAGCTCTGAGCCAGTAAACCCAGCAGACTTTCTCATCATCCAGTGGTCTGCAATGGCACTTTCTTCAAGAGGTCTGAATTTCAAAGGGGGACCCCTCTTCCAAGCTTGTACTTCCATGGCTACTCTTTCTCAGCTTTAGGGTACTGTTTAGAGTTCCTGTAATATATTTATCATAGCTTAGCAGTTCCTTAATCTTCTCCTGGTTAAATTTGCTATGTGTTGTCTCCTGGTTGGACTTTGATAGAGTGTGATCAGTTGGTAAGAGTTGGGGACAAGGAAGTGAGCATGAGTGGTGCTTTCTCTCCCTCCTCTTTGGGAACAAGCTCCTCACAGCATGAGTTCAGCCCTGTATCTCCTTTTTTTTTTTTTTTTTAGATTTTATTTGAGTGAGAGTGAGCAAGTGAGTGTGTGAGAGAGAAGGAGCAGGGGGGGAGGGGCAAAGGGAGAGGGAGAAGCAGACTCCCCACTGAGCAGGAGGCCCGCCATGGGGCTCAGTTCTGGGACTCTGGGAGCATGACCTGAGCCAAAGCAGACACCCAACTGATGACTGAGCCACCCAAGCACCCCCTCCTTACTGTGTTTTCAAGGACAGGCTGTAAGAGTGTTGGTCCAGTGCTCTCTGTGGCTGGATGGGTAGGTCTGTATGATTCAGCCTTAGTATAAGGAAGCCCTCTTTTACACAGATACAAGCCTCATTCTCTGACTTCAGCCTTACTACTACTAAGGATAATATTTCATGCTTCACTTACCTTGTCAATTTATGAATTAATTAGTTTTTTTTTTTAAAGGATTTGAGAGAGAGAGAGAGCTCGCAAGCAGGGGGAAGGGCAGAGGGAGACAAGTAGACTCCCTGCTGAGCCGGGGGCCTGATGCTGGCTCAATCCGAGGACCCTGAGATCATGACCTGAGCTGAAATCAAGAGTTAGATGCTCAGCCAACTGAGCCACCCGGGCGCCCCCTATTTATGAAATCGTTTAAAGCCTGGATGAGAAAGAGGTTAAGGTGAATCACTTAACAAAAGCATCTTGTTGCTTTTTGACATGTTGAGTATGAATTGGTTTTATCACTTTCTAGCCTTGCCTGGCATCACAATTAATATATACTGAAATTTAATATAAACACACAATTTTGTAATATTTGATGTCAGAAAATACGTTGGGGACAACTTTCAAATCATCCAATACTTGTACAGTTGGACCTTCTCCAACAGCAGATTTTAGTTATTTTTCTAAGGTTACTGGTCCGTCTTCTTCTTTCATGCTTTTCATGGTGAGGTGAATAACCCCTTTAATTCTTTGTAAATATTAAATAACATGTTTTTCAGTTAAGGTAAAAATATTTTCAAAAACCTATACAACCTATGGAAGGGTCACAAAGTGCTCCTTTTTCCTAAAGATAACATCAATTTCCATAGAAACGAGAGTTCAACATCAAGACAGTTGATGGGAAAATGACACACGGACTTAAGGGTCTGTATCACAGATTCTGTGTCATCTGGGAGGCTTCCAGTCACAGCGAGTAATAGAAAGATCCAACTGAGAGTGGCTTAAGAAATAAAGTTATTGGTTCACTCAAATGAAAACTATAGAGGTACATGTAGCTGGGGGTCAGAACTGATCCAGAATCTCGTATGACATGATTTAGGTCCTAGTTTCTTTCAATTTTCATTGTCATTTCCCTGGTTTTGACTCCAAACTCCCACTTCCCATTTCATAATCTGAATTGGCTTTGAGGAGCTTTGCGAATTAGGACACAAATCCTAACGGATGACACAACAAAGAATTTACGTCAGGATACACAGAAAAAAAATGTCTTTCAGAGTCATCCGACTGGGCCAGCTTAGGCAACTGTGTCAATTCCAAACATTCATTATGAACAGAGATGGCACATGTACATTGGCTCTGCTAATCAGGGCCACTCTGGGGCAGGTGAGGCCAATTCCATCTAAACCACAAAGGTGAGAACGGAGGGAGAGGTCCTGAAAAGGAATTCCAGCTACTAGTCTCATAGGAGAAATAGATGCCAAGCAGCCAGTAACAAGGTATTCACTACAGATACTTCCAGAGGCCATTCCTTACTCACTCACTCCGAAAGAAATTTAAGACCTCACCCAAAGTAACCCAAAACTTCACATACTTTCTGCATGTTAAATAATACATTTTAAGAAAAGAAACAGTTAAATCATTTCACGGTATTTTATTTCTGTAATTCTACAATCACTAAAGAGGCCTTGCTATTAAAGTAATAACACTCTGTCTGGAGGATTTTATGTTCAGTAATGTGTCTACATTCAAAAGACAGACCTTGCTCTGATGACTCCTGAACTCAAACGTACTTTTTAGTTGATATCCCTTCTCCAGTATGGCTTTAAACAACACAACCTTCGAAAATTGCCACACTACAAAAGCACATACTGACAACATAATAACCTTCTTTTCACAAGGCGTGGCACCCAACGTTGTCTTGGTTCACATTCTACCGTATGGTTCGTTCTCTGATGCTGAGCTCCAAGTTTTGTTTTGGCCTAGATCTTAATCTTCGAGCATTTTTACGATCGTGTTCTGGTTTTCCCTTGGCCAACCTCCCCACTTGCACCCTTTCCTAGACTCCCTGTACCTTTTTCAAGCTAAAGTTCTCTCTCTACCTTTCCTTTATCTGCTGAAATCCAAGAAAGAGCCTAGAGTGAAATGAATACTTGCTCTTTGCCCCACCTGCTTAGCTGCTTGCAATCTGTCTTCAGCCTCTATAATTTGAATCTGCCTAAAGTTATCAGTGACATTCATCTTCATCTTACTGAAATATTTACATGGTTGATAACCCCTTCCCTTTGAGTTTGCTCCTCTTATCTGATTGGTTGTCTTCTGTCACCCTTAAGATGGAACCATGTCTCTCTGTTCTGTTAATGACTCTCATTTCTCTTTTACTCATCAAATAAAACCCAAACACATTTAGGAAGAGGCAGAGTTTTCACATTCTGGTCCTGGTCTTTCAGCTTTCTCTTCTATTACCGCATTGACAACACACTGCTCAAGACATGTCACCTGTGCTTTTTTCCATGGTTCCCTTTTAAATCTCTACCATCAAGGCCAAGCTTCAAGTTTTCCCTTCCATGAACCCTGCTCTAGTTCCCCCCAAGCTATAAACTATCTCCAACTCCATCAACCAGGTCCATGCTATCACCAGCTCTTCACTAGGTAAGCTTCGTAACTAGTAACTCTTGTTTCTTGTCTCCTAATTGTTTCCTCATACAATCGCTAGAATGATCTCTCCCACAATCTAAACCCCTGACCAGCCTATAAGATCTGGCCCATGCTAATGTTTGTAAAATGCTAAGCACTTTACATGGACTGATCCATTTAATCCGATCAATGATCCTATGAGCTACCTACTTTTTAATATCCTCATTGGCAGACGCTGTTGATGACCCACCAAATCCCTTTTTTCTTACAGGGCTGGTACACCCATATCCCAGCTGCTAAGGGCTGTCACCTCCACCTTATTTGGAGGATTGCTCTTGACTGAGAGGGACCTAGCCTCCCCGCTTCCCCTCCTCCCCGTGACAGGTTGTCGATGACTGCCTGATGTGAGAACACAATAGCCCAGCCTCTCACCTCAGGGCAGGGCAATCTCTGTGGTCTAATTCATAATGCAGAGTGTCCTGTAGGGTCAGGCTGAAACTTCTGTTTTCTTCACTCCATTACAGATTCTCATAAGAGCACTCCCTCAATAATCACTTGCCCAAGAATCCTCATATCATCCTCATCCACAAGGGAACAAATCTTTTATCTTCTATTTTTTTTTAAATTTTATTTATTTGAGAGAGAGAGAGGATGAGAGATAGACAGCACGAGAGGGAAGAGGGTCAGAGGGAGAAGCAGACTCCCCGCCGAGCAGGGAGCCCGATGCGGGACTCGATCCCGGGACTCCAGGATCATGACCTGAGCCGAAGGCAGTCGCTTAACCCACTGAGCCACCCAGGCGCCCCACAAGGGAACAAATCTAAGACACATGTTACATATGAGAAAACTTGGTTGGCCTGAGGCCAAATAGCAAATGAGAAAGCTGAAATTTAAAGACAATCCTGTACTCTTTCCTACCATAAGGGCCATTTCTCCAACCTCCTCCTCCCTGGTCACCCTCTCCTCACTCATCCCCTTCAGCTAAATTAATTCCTGCCTCAGGGCCTTTGTACTTCATATTTTCTCTGTCTAGAATGTTTCCTTATCTCATTGTGGCTTGCTTCCTCATTTCTTTCAAAATGTTTCAAATATTACCTCTTCCAAGAGGTCTTTCCTTACCCTAACCATCCTAAGATAGCAGCACTATTTCCAACTCTGTTTTTGTTCTATTTATAGCATTTAATATCCGAGATTGTATTATGCATAATTGATGTTTTTTGTCACTCGCACTAAAATGCGAGTGAGGGCAGGAATGTTGTCTGGCCTATTTTCTGCTGTATCTCCAGTGCTGGCATGGCACAGAGCAAGAGCTCAGTAACAATTTGTTGTTGCATGAGTGGAATGAGTTCTCTTTTCACAGAACTCTGACAGAGCTTTGTAGAAATCTTCTTGCCTGTTAGTCTAGAATTATTAGTTACTTAATGCTTATTTATTTTTTCTGCAAGCTTGAATGCTCTTAGAAGACAGAAATTATGTTTTAGTAATTTGGGGGTACACAGGAGGCGTTCAAACAATGACACTACCTCTAAAACTCCAAACAGTAATTTCATATTAATTATAGTAAATCCAGAAGCATGGAAAAATACATCGCATTTAATTTATAAAGTATTCCTGTGCATGTTACAAGAGATTAAATACAATTAGATACTTACTGTTTCATATTTTTAAAACAATGCCATTTTCAAAATATAAAAAATAGACCTATTTTCAAAGAACCATTTAAATATGGCTTTGAAAACCACAATGTTTTATTTACAACAAATAGATGGAAGTGCAACAGCATTCATAAAGGTTTATGATAAATAGAAATATTATTCTGGCATCCTTTTGGGGCAGGCTTTTATAGATATTTACAATGGCTTAAAGCAGTAAAATCAATAATGGCCATCAATGTAATTTGTATTTAAACCTGAATATGAACAACCGATGGAGATAATTCATTATTTGGGATCTGAACCCATATATCTGATAGCTGAAGTAGGAAGTTAGTTTCTTATTTTCACACTTTCTCAAAAAACACATTCCAATCATTCCAGTATCTGTATGAGGTGATCTACTAGTCATCTACAGCCAATTAGTGATTTATAGCCAAATATGCTAAGTTAGGGCTGACAAAGCTAGATCCTAATTCAGATTTTATAAGTTTAAGAGAAACTAAGTACCTATGTCAAAAAATATAATAACTGGATCCACAATTACGTTTTAAATTATGGAAGAGCCACTGGAGAAAAAAATTAATGACAATATGACAACAAATATCAGATATTTCTCAAATTAAGTATATAACTTCTCTAATTTCCCTAGTTAGCACATTCCAGTTGAATTAAAACTAAAGCACATTTACAGTATTTTTTTTTCTTACCAAAATTTCCCAATTCAAAAATGGTCTGGATTTAAGCAGTACTTTTCCCAGCAAATCCTTAAAGTTTAATTTGCCCTTGAAACAGCAATGATAATTCTTTTCAGAAGCCATTTTCTTTCTATTGCACAGAGACTGATTTTAAAGCCAATCCAGGCAAATGAATTCAGAAAAAGCACATTTATCTAATCCATTTAGCAAATGCTGTAATCAGCTTCTATGTGAACAGTGAAATACAGAAATTTGTGAAACTCTCCACTTGATGTCAGTTATACTATTGTGTTGATGGGAGCCATTTCTGGCAGAGGTAGCCAAGTCCCATACATATGGGGAAGGCAAAAAGCAGAAAAACATTGCAAAGTCTTAGCAGTTCTTTGACTTCTAATGATTACAGACCAATTTCCATTGTGAACCATGTTGCTGTGCAGTCTTCTTCCGAGGTTTACATCTCAAACACAAAGAAAGGAACAGTTGCTCCCTTAAGCAGATGTATTGGAATTATCTTCTTCTAGCTTACTTTTTTTTTTTCTCTAAGGTCAAGTAGAAAATGTGAGACATTCTCATATACCACAAAAGTGATACAGCAGGCTGGAGTCACTCTAATCAAATTGGGGGCAATTCCTTTGTAAAATCCACCGATGCCTTCTTTCCTTTAGAGGGAAAAATAGATATATGCTTAATTGCCTACATAGCTAACCTGACGATACAAAAGTTTAATTGGCACAGGGCATGGAATCAGCATTCAAGCCTCCCCGTGCTTTAAGTCCATGTTTTCGACATGCTGAAGTAATGTAGTTTACGAGCTATTTGTAGGGGCTTCCATTCCTTCTGTGACTGACTCAGGAAGAGAGGGCAGAGGCACTCCAAAACTGAAAAGTGCTATAATGACAACCATCTTTCAAATGTCTCTAAACATACAAGCACACAGGAGCATTAACTGATTAACTAATGTACGCATTAAAAGTCTTATAGCTTATATAAATGCAAGGTGACACTAAATCTAGCACATACAAAAACAAAACTTTATTTCCTTAATGCCTAGAATGGAAATATGGCCTTCGAACTTATCACTTGGGTTCTCAATAAATATTTACTGAACTGAACTCAATGTAAACATCCTAAATATTCTGCTCTGGCCTTTCAGAATTACAGAAAAATATGGGGATGTCTACCTATAACAGTTTATCCACAGGCTGAAGAGCGAGCATCTCTTCTATATATGGAGACAACTGTTTGCAAGTTATCGTGCAAGTAGCGGTTTAATTATATTAAACTAGGGTTTTTATGACTTCCTATATTCAATGCCATTCAATTATCTTATGACACCTAAATTTTGGTATATTAATTTGCTGAAGCACAGTTTTTTTTTTTTTTTTTTTGAAAGAGAGGTTGAGCAGGGGGGGGTGGGTGGAGAGAGGGGGGGGGGGGGGGGGAGGGAGGGAGAGAGAATTACAAGCAGGCTCCATGCCCAGTGTAGTGCCTGACACAGTGCTTGATCTCACAACCCTGAGATCACCACCTGAGCCAAAAATCAAGAGTCGGATGCTTAACCGACCGAGCCACCCAGGAGCCCTAATCTCATTTGATTTTTTTAACAACCTTGTCAGCCTAGATTTTCTGATTTTACAAATGAAGGAATCAAGCCTCAGAGATTAAGTCTGTGGGACTTAATAGTCCCACAAGGACAGGTAGTCAGTGGGAAACAGAAAAGCAGGGGCCACCAGCCATGTTTTCCCCACAGCAAAGTGGCCTTTGCTACCCAACTAACAGCAACCGGATACTTGGAGGCATGCAGGGCAGCTCCTGAAAGCTGTTTTGAGACGCCACATGCTCTCACCTCCATGTCTTTGTGATCACGTCCAGCACGCCCTTGTAAAACATGTGCTGGTCCTGAAGACGGGCTCTCACGACCTGATACGGGTACGTGGCTGCCACAGCAAATATTTTGGAGAGTGCTGCAACAGATATGTATTCTATCGTGCTCTAAAATGACAAAACAAAACATTTATTTTTCTTTAGACGGGATTCCTCTACAAATATAAAAGTTAACATTATATAGGAAAACGTTTAAATGGATCTGAGAGTGAAAAATATGGTTTCCCCATTTAACACAAGCTCTAGCAAATAAGGGGTTCTATTTTTAACATGTGTCATTTGCCTATAAAATATTTAACTGTAAATTAAATTAGTGGCAGCTGTCATCATAGCAATATTACCAAAGTAAACATAACAAAACTTCCATCTATTAAATGCTCATAAACGTAAATGATATCCTTTATTTTTATTTTTATTTTTTTTTAATAAAGAACCATCTTACCAACTGGGCTTCTGGTAATCTGTTGATGTGCTGGTTGTATTTCAACTTCAACAATTCATATGCCATAAATTGAAGGGCACCATGTGATGTTCCAAACAGCCCAGGAATAAATCCCTAAAAGGGAACAAGTAAACAAAACAAAAACTAAGCCGGTTCCCAAAGGACCACAGTTTCCAGGGACGGGAGTAAGGAATGGGTGACCTCGATGTGTGACTTAGAGAAATGGTTACTGTACAAAATTTTAGACAGGCCTTCTCACACCCACCAGTGTCATGGTGATGTACCTTATGGTAATCAGGATAAACAGATTAAAGCACAATTTCTGTTTATAAACTAGAACTTCGGTTTTCACTAAACTGTTTCTTGCCTGAGTCTGGCTTCTTTTCAGGACTGACCAGAGGTCACTCAGAACTCAGACAACAGAGTCAAGGGAAGTTACAATGGTCAGTTATTCAAGAAATACTGATAATTCATTACCTTATACAATCCACGCACACCTTCATACTTATATATTTTCAGAAGTGTATCAAACATTCCTTTATATTGTCGTTGTGAGGAGTTAACAACACCATTGTACTGTAACATAAGGCGAGTTTTTGTTACCCATAATGGGTTTGTAATGCAGAGGGTCATGGCTCCTAAAATCAAATTTAAATAAGATTACTCAGCATACAGGTACTTTGTCACTTACGACAATCCAGATTGAAAACAGTCCTTTAATATAAACAATGGGTTGCCCAGGGGTTGTACCTGAAACAGTGAGATACAGTATCTGAGGAAGTCTGAGGGTTAAAGGGTAGCCACAGTTTTTGGTGGTCATAAAAAGTTCCTCACTCGGTTAGTGGGAGGTAAATTAAAAGAGAAATGGAAATGTGAAACACTTTCCCTTTGAGGTGTAAGGACAGCAAAGATGTCCTGGCTCCTAAACAGTATGGTTTGGTGTAGAGAACAGATGGGAGTCCTAGGAAGCAGACTCTGATAAGATATAAATATTTGGGAGCAGGACAAAGTGTAACCCAGAGGGGTTGGATATTAGGGGAAAAGGATCAGGCAGCCAACATCTCAATAATTCCTACATGTGCCTATATATATATATCCACCCCAACTTTACCACAATCCTCCTCAAATCCAAAGTGGCTAATGCATCTCAAAACTTAAAGAACTACATGATAAATAGTATTTTACATTCTTTACAGAAAGTGACAATTTTGTACATGAAGAATTTCATCTGGTTAAGTTTCTCATTTGCTGAGTTTCCTAAGTAGTCTTTCATTCAACAAACATTTACTAAGTCCCATTGTGATTCAGGCCTGTGCTAGCAGCTAGCTATTCTAAACTGAGTAGATTTTTTAAGACAAGAGCTATCAGTAAACAAAGTGTCAAAGTATGAGTTGCAAAGATTTATGGGTCCTGTTCTGCTTTTCTCTTCAGAATATTACACATACATGAGACAATTAAACAAGGCTACTAAACTGTCTAATTTGAAAACCGAAATCATACTTTAATTGAAGAAAACACCATACCAAATCATCTTAAACTATCAGGAATTCATAACTTTTCTAAATTTTACTTCCTTTGTGATAACTAGAATTCTTGAAATCTGTCCAGATTAACTGATAAGAATAGCTGCTTTCTAAGAAATTCCATGTGATAACTGGTTACATAAGCATACTCAAACTCTATTGTTCAATGGGGGGAAAAAGCAAACAAAACAAAAAACAAAAGTGAAAATCAAGTTGGTAGTTGCTGTTTTAGATTTCACACACTGCCTTACCAGCTTCAGCAGCGGAGACGAGGTACTCTGTTGCCTCTAAACGTTCTGCTCTTCCTTCTGTCTTATATGATTTGATGGCATTGTAACTAAGAGAATTAAACATAAGCAGTTTGATAAATATTTGATAGGTGTCATAGAGCAGTAAAGTCTGTTTTAAAATGTGTGTAACTTAACAGCAGCACCCCAGAAGTCAATGCATGAGGCAACCAAGAATGGATTTGCTGGAAATGGTTTACTCTAAGAGTTTACCCATCCCGCCCCCGGAAATGTATACAGCTACCACTACATATGCAAAATATTTTAATCACATACTTAACCAATTAATAGTGACAACAGGAAAACTGGGAGGGGGGAGGGCCATAGCAGTGGTGCAGCAATGGGGCAGACAAGGCAGAAGGACAAAAGGGGGCCCCTAACAAAGAAGTGCTGAGCACCATGTTCAGGTACTGTGGTTGGCAATTCCGCCACCTAAAACACTCGGTGGGTCCTTCCTGGTGGATTAACAAGGACCACAGGCAGCACACAAGTAATCATAATAAAGACAACAGAGATGGTGTCACAAGAGCTAGAGAAACTAGGGCTGAGATCACAGAAGGCTTGTGTAGGAGGTGGCACTGGTGGGGCGTGGAGACAGGTACAGTTTCAATGGGGAAACAGGTGAGCATGGGCAAAGACTGTAATAAGGGCGGCCGGGGAAGACAGAGAAAACTGAGACACACTTGAGTGGCAGACTGACACTTGGGCTTTATCTGGCAGAAAACTGAGAGCCACTCAATGTTTCTCAGCAGAGGAGTCCGATCAGCCTCTTCTAACTCCAATTTCCATTTTCCTCTTGGAAGAAGAGTTCAGCTACATAAATCCTTCCAAACTTTACCAATACTATTCTAACATGAAACAAGTACACTTTTGAAAGAAATTCTCATCACATAAACCTTACATTCATACAGCATGTCCTTAGAAACTCTCTTTAGAGAACCTACACAACTTAAAATTCATAATAGAATCCATTTTATACCTATAGTTTCACCCATCTAAGTGTGTTTCAGAACCAAAAAGGAGAAAAATACATTTTTAAACAATACTAAGTTTGAATCTGTTTTGCATTCACTTAAAAAATATTTTAAGATTGTGGTTTGGGGGCACCTGGGTGGCTCAGTTGGTTAAGCTTCCAACTCTTGACTTTGGCTCAGGTCATGATCTCAGGGTGGTGAGATCGAGCCACACACCTGGCTGTGCACTGGGTGGGGAACCTGCTTAAGGTTCTCTCTCCCCCTCTGCTCCTCCCCACCGCCAAGATGACTGTGGTTTGGATACTGCCATAAAATTATGGCAGATAAAGTAAAATATACAACACAAAAGAGAAAAAGGCAGATAGACCAGGTCTTGATGTTCTCCTAAAAATGCCATCTATAAAACAAAGACAAGCCTCCCCATCCTGGATTCAGGTTCAAATATCAAAGGCAGCAAGCGCTCCTGCAATGCAGTGCTCTGTTCCCACGTTCTTGCACAGTCAGTAAGCTCGGTGTGCCTGTCACAGGCACCTTCTGCAGCTTCTTCACTGCTCACAGAATTGCAGCTATTTCACACGGTGACCATACCTGACAGGGGAAGGAGGAAGGAAATGAACGAGCTAGGAAGATGATGGAGCAGGTCAAATAGGTGGCAAGAAGGGATGGGCCTCAAGCTCTTTTAGCCGCGCATTGGCTTTTACTTTCTGTTCCCAGGAAGGGCTCCCATTATATGTGTTCTTATGAGAACCCCAAGACACGTCCTCTTCGGCTTTCCAACTTCCTTACGAATCAGGAGTACTTTGATAAGGCATCTTCCCGAATTCACCTCAGAGGTGGCTTCTCTAAGAGCGTTTCTCCAACTCATCCTTCATCTTCTTCCTATTTAGAACTTTCTTCCAGACCAAATGCCTCTGATAATAGCTGACAGAGGAGGAAAGTAATAAGCCTTTTGCTCTTTCTGACCTTTCCTATTCAGAGAAACTGATGAAATGACTCATCTTGGTTCATCAACTGAAATGTACAGATCACTGAAAACAAAAACTCCTTTTATTTAATACTGTAAAATCTCCCAGATTTACTCACAAGAAAAAGTAGAGTCCCCAGGATAAACCTGCACCCCACACATTTGGGGTTACTCCTTGGTAAAGTCCCCGTAGTCCATCAAGTTTCCAAATGGTAGTCAAGCAATGCACAATTCCTTTATATTTTGGTCTCAGTTCCAATCCATCACTCACTGCAGTAAAGGCACAAAATTAGGTGAGAGGAAAGTTCTAGCTCTGAATCACATATAAACACAGACATCACATAGTCATAGTACGGAGATAAATTCAGAAGAAAACCCTTTTTAGATAGAGAAAAATATTTCTATTTTTTGGAATTATTTACTCTTTATTAATTTCTCTTTAAAACATCTCATGCATATTGCTAGAATGTTCAACAACTTTCAGTTCTTACGGTCTCTGAACCTTAAAGCTTTTACACAGGCTATTCTGTCTGCCATGAACACTCTTCTCAGTCACCTAACTCCTTTACACAGCTAACTTTGATTCCTCTTTCAGGTCTGTTTAATAATTTCCTTTGGTGATCCTTTTCCTATCCCCTAGATGAGCTCAAGTTTCTTTGCACCCATGGCATACCATACTTTCCCTACCATAATAAAAACACTCTTCATTGCAATCATTATTGTTCAATTATTCTGGCTGCCCAGTAGGAAGATGCTCTGTGAGGGCAGAAACTACTACTTCTTCGATGCAATATTTCTACTCCTATCTTAGTGCTTTGTACACTGTAGGTGCTCAATATATATTTGCTCAATTATTATATCCTGAATATTGTTTCTTTTCCAGATCCACCGTCCATCCCTTTCTACCACGTTCTGCCTAGCAGCCTGACCTTGTGTTCTAGTTTCTAGTTGAGTTGGGCTAGTGGGGAGGCCTGACAAGAGATCAGAGGGATGCAAGAGAGTAGATGCAGGTATTTACTCTTTTACTTCCCTTCCTATGGGGTTGCCTTAGGCGGGCTGCACTTTTCTATTGCCAGTCACAGCTCCTCTCATGGTGGCCCTCCCTCAGTGACCTCCTTCCCCCTGACATTTGGCCCTTCAGGTGGCAACAGCCCAAACGGTTTCTAGCTCCAGAATACTGCAGTATTCCTTGTGGTTTTGCTATAATCTCCTATCTTTGTAAACAGTCCTGTTAAGCAACCACTCCCCTCCCATGCCCTGAATTATCTTATTTTGAATGTGCCTTCTGTTTCCTATGGGGAAATGGAATGAAAGAATGTCAAATTTATAATCTAGATTTTTTAAAGTTGGAATTTTACTACGTATAGTTTTGTATACTGCTTCTTTCTTCACTTGAGAGTATACTGTGAGAATTCCTCTTTGTTATTATAAACTTATTTGTAATTAAATAGACTATCAAAAGATTTTTTAAAATGGTATGATGGTCTTCCCTCTCATAGATATCCCATCATTTGTACAATCATTCCCCTAGTTGACATGTAAGTTTTTTTTTTTTTGCTATTATTAAGAGGTTTCTAGAGAATATTCTGTGCAACATTCAAATTCCTACATCCTTAGAATTAACTATTAGAATGGGAATTAATATGGGTCAAAGGTTTTAAGTACATACTGAATCTGCCTTCTAGTTTATACAAAATTACAGTCCGCTGGCCATATAAAAGCATGCCCAGTTCATTGTCCCCTTTGCCACTACTCCACCACATAACGCAGCCTGGCAAAGAATCACTGTTTGCCATTGCCAGGGAAAGGGAGAAAGTCAATTTCTTTCATCATTAACCTGACAATGTTACACCATGAAATGAGATTAAAGTACATGAGGCTTTGTCAGAAGACCTGGGTTTGATATCTAATTTCCCTAATTAGCTACATGATCTTAATCCTTCTGAGCTTTAGCATCCTCATTTATAAAACGGGGATAAATATGACCTACCTCACAGGTTGCTGACAAGTTTATACAAGATACCAAGTTTAAAAAAGCAAGTAATAGAGGGACTGGCTCTCAAGAAATATTTTGCTGTGTTTATTTCATAATCTTTCGGATAAGCATCAGAATTTGAATTTCACATCTCTTATTCTCCTGATAAATTTCTTTCCATTTTCCTTTCAATACTAAGCTCACAACACAGTTTCTCTCTTGAGGTAAAAAACAAAACCACAAAAACACCATCTGCTTTTCATGGGTATGAACCAATGATTTCTTTATTGTTTTGACGGGTCACTTGATTATAAAAGTAGAGTATTAAGTATCTCAGTAACAGGCAACAACATTCTATACCCTATACTTCCCTGATACTATAATCTTGTCTCCACTATATAGTTAGGATCAAATCTTTAAATCTGAAAAATATTCATTTGTACACCTATCAATTTAGAAAAAAACTGAAAAACTATTTATTGACTCCTTATTATTGCCAGGCAAAGGGGGAATCTAAACGTAAGTAGGACACAAACCCTGACCCTGAGGAAGACATAATCTTCAAGGCCAAACAGCAACAATCACGTTGCAAAGTTACAAGCACTGTGGTGAATGGAGTGCTATAGGATTACAGAAGAAACACACAAAAAATGTTTTGTACAGAAGGAAGGGGGGAGATGCAGTAGAGTGACAGGGAACGTGAGAGAAATGCTTGGGTGGAGCCTTGAAGATTGATCAGAAACTTGTCTTTGGGGAAAGGAGAGAAAGGTTTGTCTCTAGACAAGTGCACTAGCTGGTGTAGGTAACACGCAAGCATCCCAGGGCCTGGCATCGTCTGGGAGAACATGAGGGCTTTGGTGAAAAGTGTAAGTTGATGGAGAGAAGGGATGGTAGGAAATTAGGCTAGGGAGTAGGACAACGGTGTGATAGTATGAACTGCCCACTGCCCTGTGATTTGGTCCTCCACCCATTACTGCAAGTGCTCCAAAACCCCCGAAGTGAACTTTGGGAATCCTCTTTCTCACCAACCATTTAGCAGCACCTAAGACCGTCTGCCTCCTAAACACTCTTCTTTGGGCTATTTTTACACCACACTCTCCTGATTTTCCTCTTTCTTCGCTGGCCACTAAATTTCGTTTGCAGCCCCCTTCCACTCCAACACTTAATGTGTGACCCTGTGTCACTTACCTGATTACTCTGTGGTTATCTCATCCACAGAATGGGAAAGATAATAGAACCTAACTATAAAAACTACAAAGGGCTAAATGAATTAATACATATACAGCCCTTAAAAGCATGTGTGGCACACGGCAAGCATTGAGTATTAGTTTATTTAAGCTACAGGGTCTTGCAGTATTACCCTATACATACAAAACTGGACTGTATGCTATTCTTGTTACTTGATTTTACATTCTGGTTCCTCGATTAACTTATGGATTATTAGGCTTTCAGGTTATTTTAGAAACTATTTTTACACCTCATTCTTCGTTGGGGCTTGCATTCTCACTCTCATCAGTCTTTTTTTAAGTTTTATTTAAGTAATCTCTACATCCCACATGGGGCTTGAACTTACGACCCCAAGATCGAGTCGCACCCTCCTCCAACTGAGCCAGCCGGGCACACCTCTCTCTCATCATTCTTGGATGACTTAAAATTGTATCTTAAAGTTAGAAGGGTCCTCAACAATCACCTCATCCGACTGACCTTCCCCCTCAACGAAGAGTATCTTCTGCCTACTGTCATCTAGCCCTGAACCACTTCCAGGTATCACCAGTTTCATTTCTGAGCACCCCCACTCGGGGCAGGCCACAATCTGCTTACCTGTCATTTCCACTCAACCTCCACCTGGTCTTCAGATGAACTCATAAGATAAATCCCTTTCACACATGGCAGCTCTTCAAACACCCGTCTCTGCCCTCCACCCACCTGCAGCCAAACTAGTTCATCAGTCATTTCTCACAAGTGATTTCTAATCTTTCTACCACTCTGGACACTTCTGAGTTCCAATTTGCACCTGAACTCATTGAACTATTCCAGGTTTGGTTTAATGGGACATTCAAGACTAATACCCCTGTCACTAGGTAATTAAAATTTCATTACAAGGGTGTAAGTTTCATGAAGCATAAAAACTACAGCATTAATGCTGATGGCCAATCAACTATTTTGATTTCAGTTATTCATCTTCCTAAATTTTCCTCTTTTCTATCACCATTTCACAGCCACACTTTATCATTACAAAGTCCTGCTTTGATTCCTAGATCTTTAATTTTGTCCCCCCATCCAGGCTCAATCATCTTACATATTACCTTGGCCACACTGGTTTCCTGAGACGCTCCCCATTTCATCAAGGTTACCAATCTTCTCAGGTACCAAGAATTCCCTTTCTTCAGGCACAATCTGCTTCCTAGCACACTCTTAAACTCACCAAGCCAACACTATTCCTCAGTGATCATCCCAACTGTCACCTCTTCTCCTAGACAAAACATTGGAGACACCAAATCATACAGGCCTGTACCTGCAGCCAAATCCAAAATTCTTTTCTTCATGTTCAAGCCACCATATACTAGGGAGTCCTAGAGGTAGAATGGTGAGTGGTTAAGAGTCAAAGCATTCTAGAATTAGACTGCCTGGGTTCAAATCCCACATCTATGCCGTTATAAACTTGAGACTTGAGCAAGTTGGTCAACTTCTATTATTTTCATTTCTATAATGAAGATAATACATTCACAGGGTTGTTCAGGGTAGTAAATGAGATAGATAATGCATGTAAAACTCTTAGTTCATTGCCTTGCTCTTAGTAAATGCTCAGTGTTACTTGTCATCATAATTTTTATCTGTGCATGTGTCACAAACTCCATGGAGACTATATGCCTTTCTGGGTTTTCTTTTAGGAAGTATACTGCGTAATTTTCACTGATTTTCCTCTGTAGAATGGCTTCTTGACTCCTTTCCAGCTGTCAAAATATCAGTCCTTCTGTGGGGAACCTCAAGATCTAACGGAATCTTACAGATACAGCTACATATGGCCGTCAGCAATCTATAATTCTCCTGATAGTCTGTCTCTACTCATATTTTGATATTTGGATTTTGCCCTCGATTTTATGTTGTCTTAGAATTATCTTTTATGTGACTAACACTCAAGCCTACAATTAGACCGTAAATCCCTTGAGGATAAGAACTTTGTTTAGGTACGTCTGTATCCTATACAGCAGTCTACAAATATTAAGAAAACAATATATTTTAGGCGGATAGAATCATTCTGACTCTTGAAGATGAACCACTTCTGCAGATCTAATTCTCAAGGCAGAACTTGTAGTAGTAAGAAAACCAAATGCCAGAAAATAGTTTCCCAGTAAAGTTATCAAGACCTTCTTTGAAACTATCTTTTCCGGAATTCACTGTTGAGTTTAACTTCTAAGGTGCTTTGTAAATTTCACTTAACTCCCTGCACTTAATTCAATAAACGTCAATTTAAAAAAATAGCATTTGGATGGTAGCTATCTATTCCTTCATAGGACTTTGTACCACACTATAAACACCAAAAAACAAGCCTTCAAGAGAATCCTATCCCAAACCTATTCCCAGCCACCCGCTGAGGATTACGCGGTAGCCCAAGCACTTTTTCCTCAGCTCAGCTGCCAAACATGTGGCTACCGTAAGATTTCAAAGTACCTCCAGAGGTTGGTGAATGATTAGCACATGCGAGGGCTAAACCCTAAAATGTGCCAATCCCTTTCTCACTTTTCAAATACGGCGTTGAGTCCCCCATCCTACGCCAATTTGAACTTTTCTCAGACTTTTCTATCCCTGTTCTCCATTCCTTAGACTTGGGGAACTGGGACGAGGGCGGCCCGATCCCTTTCCTAGGCTCCCGTTCCTCAACTAGTTCCAGGTGAGGCCGGATAAGCAGCATTTGCTTCAACGCTCGCCTTGTAGTATGCAAGGGGCAGGGGAGAGCAAGGCCTCCTTTTGCTTCTTTATCACCCAGTTCGGGTACCAGCGAGGAGAAGGAGCCCAGGGTACGAGTGGGCTCTTACCGGCGAAGCGGATCTTCACGAGGTCCAGCGGGTGCAGCGCGAGGTTGGACAGGACCCCGCCGCTCACGCCCGCCACCAGGTTCTCGTACCGGACGTGGCGGAATATCGTGCTCCACGCCGACGACCCTGACGCCGACTGGCCCTGGGCCGTCATAGTCCCAGGGCCCGCTGATACCACGCCCAGGGACGCGGAGGTGGTAGGAGATGCAGTGGCCGCCACCGTGGCGACCGTCGCCGCCCAGGAGCAAAAACCGCGGGGGGGCGAGCCCACTTCCGGGACCAGCGCTAGGACGCGGTAACTAAGCGGAGAGACCCCAGCGCAGAGCCAGCGTGAGAGGCGCGAGGTAGTACGTCACGCCAGCAGAGAGCGCGAAGGAGGCGGGGCGCCGGCCTCTGCCAAGTCCCCGCCCTTCCCTCCCCGCCCCGCCCCCAGCTGCGGGCGTTTCGGGCCGAGGGAAACGGAACCGACAGCACTGCTAAGAACCACCTCGGCCAACCTCGGTCAGCAGAACTACGGAGCGCTGCAGGGTCCTGCTGAGGCAGCTGGCTTCCACACAGTGGAAGTCACATGACAGGAAGTAGTATTGAAGCGGAAGTAGCATGTGGCTGAGGAGGCGGGGGTAACCCGAACGCGGAGGAAAGGCTTAGGGGGACTGGGACAACTAGCCGCCAAAATGAAGGTGAAGATGCTGAGCCGGAACCCGGACAACTATGTCCGCGAAACCAAGCTGGACTTACAAAGAGGTGAGACAAGTTATTAGGGAGTCTGCCCGCCTAGAGTCTGGCCTCAGCTTCCACGGAGCAAAGCGGGGGGCACACTGGCGCTCCAGTCTGGTTCTTTCCCTGTTCCTTTTGCCGAGGCAGACTTTGTACAGATAAGGACGTTGCGGGACTGGGTAGCAGGTAACTTCTCTTCAAGGCCGTTTTTGAAGAGCTTTTTCTAGTGGTAAGGGGGAAAGTTGGTCATACCTGGAATGCTTCCGCCTTCCCCTTTCCAGCTGCTGCTCTCTGATTTTTCTCAGATTCCAGTTGTTGAGAAGTGGAACGTGAAAGCCAAACTCGGGAATTCAAGGATTTGACAGGCTTCTTTAAACCTCTCGAACTTTTGGCCACTTTACTTCTTAAAGTTACGTCCTTCTAAATGTGGAAGGAGACAAAGGTGAAACGTAAAGCCATCGATTTTCTAAACCCTTGTGCAGAAGTCTGATGGGGAAAATGGCTAAAATGAAATTAATAAGTCTTACTTATTGGTCTTATTATTCTTATTTATTCGTCTGTTCTCCCATTTAGCATCCTGATTGCTTATCATTTATAGATCATAATATCTAAATGACGAGGGACTACCCATGTCTGAAAAGAGAATAACAAAGGCCTTAAGGCAGGAATAAAGATAAAGCATAAGAGAAGGGCCATGTCTTCGGAGTTTGAGTAAGGGGGATAAGCCATAGAAGATGAGGCTCGGATGATATTTCAGTATTTTGACTGAGTAGTAGAGATTATCCACATATATATGAGTAATGCTGAGAAGTAAATATGTGGTCTCTGTTCACAAGATGTTTACAGGTTAGGTAACAAGATAGTAATGTTTCTAAAATGCAAATTAGTTTATGTCATTTGGACCTGACATCATCCCTGCTCCTTGAACCTCTGGTCCCATCTTCCTCTCTAATTTCACTTAGTTACTTTCCTTGCAAGTAGCTTACATTTACCCTTGGAGATCTGAGTGCATTTCAGACATTTCTCTTTCAGGTGTCCTGTGCACACACCCTTACTCAGTTTAGCTCCTTCCTCTGAACAATAATCTTTGCATACTTATTCCCTGGAGTTGCCTCCCCCCCAGCCCATTTAAAGCACCCTTCCTCTGTGCTTTGATCACATTTTTGTACTAACATCAGAGTGTGTATCACATTGTCTCATGAATATTTTGGTTATTAGTCCTTCCCATCAGACTGAGCTTGCATAGAAGGGAAGAATCTTATTTGTTTCTATATCCACTGTGTCTAGACAACACCTGGCACATAGTGGTTGCTTTATAAATGTCTGAAGGAAGGAATGAGTGAGTGACTGGCTGGTCATAGACTCTCCATGTTAGGAGATTATTAGTCATCTGATGTTATTGAGTGTCTTATTTTCTATATCTTCCTATTTCTTTATAGTTTCTGATGGAAGTGGGTTTTTTTTTTTTTAAGATTTTATGTATTTATTTGAAAGAGAGCAAGCACGAGAGGGGGAGGGCAGAGGGAGAAGGAGAAGCAGACTCCCTGCTGAGCAGGGAGCCTGTCCCAGAGCTCAGTCCCAGGACCCTGAGATCATGACCTGAGCTGAAGGCAGATGTTTAGCTGACTGAGCCACCCAGGCACCTTTGATGGAAGTTTTAATAGCAAAATGGAAAAATAGAAGTTTAGGAGCTCTGTAAAACGTAAATCGAGGAAGACATTTGTTACCCCCCTTTTTAAAAATTTATTTATTTATTTATTTGAGAGAGAGAAAGAATCTCAAGCCGACTCCCCTCTGAGTGGAGAGCCCACCGCAGGCCTCAATCCCAGGACCCCAAGATCATGACCTGAACCGAAATCAGTAGTCAGCTGCTTAACCAAATAAGCCACCCAGGCGCCCCATTTGTTACCTTTTTTTATTCGTTCATTCTTGTTTAGGTGTTATTTCCTTGTAAATTTTGATTGAATGTTGGCTATAGTACCATTAATAGGGAGTTAGAGATTCAAAGACAGCAAGGTGAAGATGTGGGGTAAGAAAATGCATTTCCTTCACAGATCTGTACTTCTGAAACAAATAACGCAACATATTTTAAGAAAAAAGAAAAAGAAGAAGATAACAGGAGAGGAAGAAAAGGGGAGTATGTCAGAGGGGGAGACGAACCATGAGAGATGATGGACTCTGAAAAACAAACTGAGGGTTCTAGAGGGGAGGAGGGTGGGGGGATGGGTTAGCCTGGTGATGGGTATTGAGGAGGGCACGTTCTGCATGGAGCACTGGGTGTTATGAACAAACAATGAATCATGGAACACTGCACCAAAAACTAATGATGTAATATATGGTGATTAACATAACAATAAAAATTAAAGTAAAAAAAAAGAAAATGCATTTCCTTTTAAACATTAAGGGTTTTTTAGACATGTGTGCTTAGAAATATTTCCTAAGCCCAACTGTTAACTGAGACAACATGTTTGGGAGCATAGCATAATAGTTAGTAGAACATGGGTTCTGAAACCAGACTGCTTTGGTTTGAATCCTGGCTTTATCGCTTCATAGGCACGTTACCTCTCCGTGCCTCAATTTCCCAGCTATAAAATGGGAAACAGTAATAGAACTTACCCCATAGGGTGCTGTGGAGATTAAATGAGTTAATATACAGTATTTGGAACAGTGCCTGGGACATGGTAAACTTTTTTAAATAAGTAAACAAATGTGTGAAATGCTCAATAAAAAGTAACTGTAATCATAATCACAACAGTGTATGCCTGTCAGTATAGTGACTAGCGCTGGAGATTAAGTGTTCCCTGCCTCAAAAGGAGCTTAGAGTTCGGTTGAGTAAACATTTGTCATATATTTGTTTTGTACCAAGCACTGTGCTAGGCATAAGTAGTAAAGTGAAGAAAGTGGTGAAATCCCTGCCCATGAAAGCTTTACAATCCATTTAAAGAATGTAGTCAGACATATAAAAGGAAAAGCTGAGGTTATATGTAGGGTCTGTTGTTTTGCAAGATGTATGCATTCCATGATTTTCCGGTAGTTTTGGAAAGGTTTCTGCGTAAAATGTCATCTGCTTTTGTATTTTTCACAGTGCTAGGCATAGAACAGTGTTCCTAACAAAGGCTTATTGAGTAACAAATTGAATAATTAGCTGAAGAAGACCACAGGAAATATTAAAAGCTAATTATTTTATTAAGAGGAGACATTTTTATTTCAGTTCCAAGAAACTATGATCCTACCTTACATCCTTTTGAGGTCCCACGAGAATACGTAAGAGCTTTAAATGCTACCAAACTGGAACGGGTATTTGCAAAACCATTCCTTGCTTCTCTGGATGGTCACCGAGATGGAGTCAATTGCTTGGCAAAGCATCCAAAGAGCCTGGCTACTGTCCTGTCTGGGGCATGTGATGGAGAGGCAAGTGTCATTCTAAACATTGCTATTTTAAACTAAAAATAGTTGTGTGGCAAATGTTCTTTAGTTTTGCGTTACTGTGGATTTTAATTGATTTGATTTCATTTTTCTATGTCCTGTTTTCTATTCTCAAGAATGAATTCTGTTTGAATTACAGACTACAGTAGTTTCTCATCTAAGCCTCAGAAATTAGAAACATAGCAGCTGAAGGCTCAATTGAGCTGAAGGCTCAAGCATGTTTACAGTAGTAAAAGTATTGGTGAAGTTTTTTTTTTTTTTTTTTTCCCACAGAGGATGTTATTAATGATTCAACACTTATTTCCACTCTGGCAAGAAAAAGCTTTGAAACACTTTAAACTAGTATCAACAGAGTACTTAACAGATTGAATTTTTTGCTTGTTGATACACTATCCATATGCACCGCAGTATTTTAAACTAGAGGATTTTGTTTTTAGCAGTCTGGTAGAATGAGTCATAGCCCTTTCAGTGTGAATTTATTTTTCTTGGAACGTAGTACTACTCCTGCGCCTGAACGTTTTATGTTTATAGTTCACTAAAATTTCCTGGTATGCTTTACCATAGGTTAGAATTTGGAACTTGACTAAACGAAAATGTATCCGTACAATACAAGCACATGAAGGTTTTGTACGAGGAATATGTACTCGCTTTTGTGGGACTTCTTTTTTTACTGTAAGTATAATGCAATTAAGTCATTAACTCTTTAAAACATGTGTAAGACTGAGCTAATATTTTCTGAATTCATTTATTTGTTCCGAGTTTTTGAGTTTCACAACCCAAAATCACTTCTTAAAGTCTTGAAAAGTCCTGGTTTTCTTTATATATACTCCAGCCTTCTTCATAGTTCTTGATTTTTTTAAATAAATAATTACCTCAACGTGTTATTGAATTAATATTCTGTAGAACACTGAGAAGTGGGATTAATGCAAGGCAAGGCTAGAAAGGTTATTTACTCTGGAAGATTTTCAGTGCTGGAGATGAGTAATTTGTACTTTGTCAGATAGTAGTAAATTTTTGAAGTATTTGTGTGTGTGGTAAGGTATACAGAATGTACAATTTACCATTCTAATAATTTTTAAGTGTACATTTCAGTGGCATTAAGCACATTCATATTATTGTGTGACTGTCACCACTTTTTCATCTCCCCAACTGAAACTCATGTCCATTAAACGAATACTCCTTATTCCCCTCTGCCCCCAACCCTTTGTAACCACTGTTT